TGTGGGGGAGGGAAAGACATGACATCAGCAGGGAGAAACCTTTATAACTGAGTGGGTAGGATGACCTGCCATGAGGACAGTCTTTTTGCGTCCTTATCCACGGCTCAGTGCACCTAGGAACATTGTATTCATGGTGAAGGGGTGGAGGTACCTGCTCAGAAACCTGACTTCCACTCACCAAGGCTGACCTGGTATCAGCTTCAGCTGAGTGACACTGAGTCACACCATTCTCTGGGTTAGCCAATCAGTGACCAGGTGGGCAGGTTGACTATGTTGGACCTCTTCTTCATAGATAGAACAACATTTTGACCTTACTGGACTTAATACGTCTTCTTCGCCATGGATTTACTTCTTGTGCACACAATGCTTCTCCTCATAGTACTATCTGTGGACTTATGGAATGCCTTATCCACAATCATGGCAGTCCACAGAGCATCGTTTGGACCAAGGAACTCACATCACAGCTGGAAAAGTGTGACAGTGGGCCTATACTCAGAGTCTACTGGTACCAGCATGTCCTCCACTACCCTGAAGCATCTAGCCTGATAGAACAATGGGATGGACTTTAAAAGATGCAGACAGGTCACCAATTAGGTGACAAAAGCCTGGAAGACTGGGCAGTATCCTCCAGGAGGCAGGTGAATTGTCAACCAGAGTCTGGTATGTGGTACTTACTGTCTCTCCCATAGCCGGTAGTCCGGTGGTAGAAACTGGAATGGCAGAATGCACCTTCACTCGTGGTGACCCAGCAGCAAAGATTTCACTTCCTGTTTCAGCAATTTTATGCTTTGCTGTCTCAGAGTCTTGTTTCTGAAGTGGAGGGTGTGGTTCCACCAGGAGACTCGAAACCAGCATTCTTCACACTTCAAGGATCATGTCCAACTCCCCACGTGGTTTCTCCAAATCCCTCCAAATGGCCATCTAACCGTTCAGACAGCTTCTGCTCAGAAGGTGGCTATCCGGGGAACTATTTTCTCAGCTTCATCTGAATGGTACACAGTTGGTCACCGAGGCCCACTGAAGGTCACGCTGCATGTGTCCACACCGAGCTGTTTATTACCGGCTCCAGTAGAAGGTGAGACACGGGAGTGGGGATGCTGTTGACCCTTATATGGCTTGGGACAGTGCCTCCCTTCCGACTCCCCGCTCCCCTGGTGGGCCATAGGGTCAAACGCCATTGAAATTCTAGTCCCAAACCTCAGCCAGGCACTGAACATATGTTTCATCCTGAAAGGAACAATGGAGCCTCTGAGCTTAATTAAGACCCCACAAAAAGCCCTTGGCTGGGCAGACCTCATTCTCTGCCATCAGTGGCTCTCTTGCTCACCCCACCCCCACCCTCTGTTTCTGCCTCATCCTCCAAGGGAGGACGGATGAAAGGCTGGTTGGCCACCTCCTGGCTCTTCTCACAACATGATCTCTGGATATAACATACAGCTCTCCCTCTAAGGGGTTAGGAGACTCCATCCTTGAGCCACAATGAGTGAGCACAACCTGGGGACATTGATTCAGGTGGTCCCAAAGTTTATGTTCCAAGCTTTTACAGTTATAGAACAACAACAACAACAATAAAAAAGTCATAAATCAAGGAATTTCCCAGATACATTGGTGGAAACATCAGGAGTTATGGTAACACGATGCAATCTCTGTTACAGGCTTCAATGGGAACTCTTACAGCATTCTTAGCTTTTGGGTGGGTGGGAGCAAGCGGTTTGTTAATATATTCCTAAAGGTTTTACCTGATATCCACAAGGATGTTAGGTTAGACATAGAGCTGGGCAATGAGTGTCTATTCAGGGGGACTAAAGATTGGCCAGGATAACTTGGCTCTGGATCTGTACCATTCCAACCCCCCACAGTCACAAAGTTCTACTGACCCAATCAAGCCGGTTGTCTTTAACACGGATGTTACTTTTTTCCTGGGAACCTGAGTTCACATCTCTGTCCATTCTTTTGAGTCTTGGAGTAGGGGGTCACCTTAGCTCCTGGGGCCAGTCAGGCCAAGCTACAGAAGCAAGCAGTCAATGAGAGCCTGCCAGACTTCCTGGCCCCAGTCACAATGGCTCTGGGGTTCTGGTGAGGCTGGAGGGTGAGGGTCAGTCCAAGCCCAAATCTAACCTGAGTCTCAGTGGTAAAGTCTGTAAAAAGGGCTGCACTGGCTGTGGGAAGCAGCCCCAGTCCTGGGAGTTGTGCCCTGGGGTCAAGTTCACTGCCTATGAAGGTTCCCTGAGGGCTGGCACAGCACAGCACAGCGCAGCGCTTAGGAGATGTTTATGTGGGATAAATTCACAATTTTGAATTTATTTAACACAGCTCTTGCCCTGCTGATAGCAAGCTAGGAGCTACCAATACTCACAGGATGTCACATTATCCCTGGTTTACAGAAGGGCTAACAGGTCAGAGAAAGGGGACCACACAAGATCAAATGATAAGTAGGCAGAGAAGCCAGAAAATGCAAATCTAAACTCCCTGGCCCCAGAAGCTGTGCACCCTGTCCAAGCTGCTGCTGAGGGAGAACAGAGCTGTCTGAGCCCTTCCCACTAAACTGGCTCCTTCCGTGGTCCTGCATCTCCCTTTTTCTTATAAGGGGTAGCCGGTTACTACAAAAGGAATGCCCATTGACCACTAAGCAGGCCAAGACATGGGCTGGAGAGATGGCTCAGAGGTTAAGAGCATTGATTGTTCTTCCAGAGGTCCTGAGTTCAATTCCCAGCACCCACATGGTGGCTCACAGCCATCTGTAATGGGATCTCATGCTGTCTTCTGACATGCAGCTGTACAGGAAGACAGAGCACTCATATACATAAATAAATCTTTAAAAAAAGCAGGACAAGACATTGAACCCTGCCTGCAATAATGAGAACCCCGTGGCCCTGCCTGACAGTCATAAGTGAGCTTCTCACCAGCATCACCCCACCTTCTTGCCTAGAGCTTACGACTACAATTTTTGTAATAATTTTTTTGTTTAAAAAGAAAAACAAAGCCGGGCATTGGTGGCACACGCCTTTAATCCCAGCACTCGGGAGGCAGAGGCAGGCAGATCTCTGTGAGTTCGAGGCCAGCCTGGTCTACAGAGCAAGTTCCAGGACAGCCTCCAAAACAATACAGAGAAACCCTGTCTCAAAAAACCAAGAAAGAAAAAAAAAAAAGAAAGAAAGAAAGAAAAGAAAACTGCAAAAGCTTTGGTTGGAGTTGGAGAGCTGGCTCAGTTGTTGCTCTTGCAGAGGACCAGAGTTCAGTTCTCTGCACCCTCCTCGGGCAATTCACAAAGGCCTTTAACAGCAGTTCTGCAGAATCTGAAGCCCTCTTCTGGCCTATGTGGGCAACTGTGTGCAAACCACATGCTCATGTGCATGAGCATGCACGCATGAGCATGCATGCACATACGTGCGAGCGTGCGTGCGTGCACACACACACACACACCTATGCATAAGTAACATAAATCTTTTAAAAAGATGCTTTAAAATATCTGTTGCATTTTGAATATAGCATGTCCCACAGGCTCATGTTGTGAATGCTTGGTCCCATCTTAGGAAGTGATAGCCATTTGGAGAATGCTGGTCCCTTCATGCATTCCTTTGATGGCTGTATAAGGAGGTTATATGGTAAGCCACCTCTTTACCCTTCTGCATCCTGTCTGCTTATGAGGGGACCAGCTCCCCTCTCCCACACACATCTGTCACCACAGTGCTCTTGCCAAATGCACACATGTGAAATAAAATCTTTCTAGAGACCTAGTGTCGCAGCTACCTGCTAAAATAAAATGATTTTAGTTGGGCATGTTGGCACACACTTTTAATTTCAAGGAGGTAGAAACAGGCAGATCTTCGAGTTCTAAGCTAGCTTAGTCTATACAGGAAGTTCCAGGCCAACCAGGACTACCTTGTTTAAAAAAGAATGGGGGGAGGGGGAGAAAGAGAGCTCTTACTTTCCTAGACTTCCACCTTATCACGAATCCCAATTTTTAGGTTTGTTCGGATGCTGTTTACCCATTGCCATTTTGTGAGTCAAGTGCCTCAACTACAAAGTCTTAGTTACTGTGACTCTAAACTTGAAGATCTGCATCCAGCAAGATGGGGTAGATGTGCTTTCCCCAAAGCTTCTATTAAATACAGTAAACAAGTAAATACAGTAAACAAGTAAATACAGTAAACAAGATGGGGTATATGTGCTTTCCCCAATGCTTCTATTAAATACAGTAAACAAGTAAATACAGTAAACAAGTAAATACAGTAAACAAGATGGGGTAGATGTGCTTTCCCCAATGCTTTTATTAAATACAGTAAACATCCCTAGACAGCAAGCGCAAAACAAAAGCAAGGCTTTGACAACCGGGGTGGAGCAGGTAGACTGTGACCCCTGCGACCAGGGGAATGGCAACCCTTGACTCAGGGACGGCTTTGCTTTGTGCTCTGATCTCAGATTAAGATCAAAAGATGCTAGTGACCTTGAAGCAGCCACTTTTTCTGGACAGTAAAGCCATCAGGAAGTCTGTTTCCCCAGCCAGAAGGTGAGGGAAGGGTACTTTGCAAGACAGAGCTCTTAGATGGTAGCTGTCTCGTTCAAGCCAAACACCGTGGGAAAGAGCCCACGCCTGTGATGGCTAGGCGCTGGCTCAGCCTAGATTTCCACCCTGGGAAGCTGCAAATTGGTAGAGCCCACCATGTGATCCATTCCTCTTCTTCCCCAAGGGGCTTGGAGCTCCTGAAGGGCGGTATTGGGTTCTATTCAGTCACCTGGGACTATTTGAGCAGACTTCTACCTGTAGGCTCAGTTTGTGGCTTCTTCTCCATCCGGGGTTCTGGGCTTCTCTTTCCTTTCCTCTTCCCCATCATGTATTCTCCCACGTCCCCTGACTACTCCCTATCCTAATCCTTTACAGCCCCCTCATCTCTTCCCTAGAGTCCTCCCTCCTCTTCTTTCCTCCTCCCTTCCCCCTGTCAAACTGCTCCTCCTCCCTCCTCCCTCCTCCCGTTTCCGCAGCTGCAGTTCCCCAGGCAGCCGGCAGGGGGAGCCCCGTCCCGGGCCTCGCCCCTGTGGCGCGCGCTTCCTGTGAGGTCAGGTGGGAGGAAGCGGCCGCCGTGGACGCCGAGGCCCACAAGCCGTGCGCGCAGGTGGGTGTTGGCGCCGGGTCCGTGTCCGTGTCAGGGTCCAGGTCCCTCCCCACCGCTGCGGGGACTGGAGCCACGCCCGGCTGAGATACTGCTGCAGCGCGGGTGGTCCAGCATGCGGGATGACAAAGCACGGGACGCCGCGCAGGACCCCGAAGCTGCGGGTCCACGCCGCGCTCCTCGCCCCCCGGATGCAGCCTGATACAGTGCCCCAGCGCGTGGAGAGTCCAGACGTGCACCGGGGAGCTCCTCGGCTGACAGTGCACGGCCCGCCGTCACCCTTGGGAGCTGCAGAGCTGGGCTTCCCCAGAGCCGCAGCTCGCACCCCGTGTGATGGGAGCCTTGGGCCTTGTCCCTTAGTAAAGGGGCACTGGAGCTCCCTGGAGGCGAGGGGCAGTTGGGGGGCGTGCCCTCTGCCGCGGAGGTCCGCCCTTCCCCGCTTGGTGGCCAGCTGGTTGGGTTCTGTCACCTGGGAGGAGACCCAAAGGGATCTGGATAGATCCTTAGGGCTTGCTCTTTTGGCAGTCCCTGGGGACCGCACCCTGACCCCTCAATTGATTTTTCCTTTTAGTTAGCATACAAAGTATTTCCCTTCCCTGTTTTTGTTGAGGCAGGGTTTCACAAAGCCGAGGCTAGCACCAAACATCAGACTGCCCTTTAACCTCTGATCATGCAGCCTGTAGTTCTGCTGGTGGATGGATCACAGGTGTACACTGCATGTCAGGTCCCTGGGACTCTCCTCCCTGTCTCTCCCTCCCTCCCTCCCTCCCTCCCTCCCTCCCTCCCTCCCTCCCTCCCTCCCTCCCTCCCTCCCCCTCCCTCCCTCCCTCCCTTTCTCCCTCCCTCCCTCCCTCCCTCCCTCCCTCCCTCTCTCTCTCTCTCCCTCCCTTCCTCCCCTCTCTCCTCTTTTCCCTTGTGTTATTTCACCCCTTTTCATTAACCAGACAGGCCCTTGCTAAGGGTGGGCTACCATATGACCACTGAAAAACACCCCCTCTCGGTTATCTGAGCTCAGGGGAAAGAGTTCCCCAGACAGAGCTATTGCTTAGGGGACCTAATGAGGTAACACCCGCCTGACTCTGCGCTCCTTACAGGTACAGCCCAGCAGGAATTCACAGCTCCCAGGAGGATGGTGAGGATCTTGGCCAATGGGGAGATTGTCCAAGACGATGACCCCCGAGTGAGGACCACCACCCAACAGAGAAGTAGCAGTCCTCGGCAGGTAGGCACCCATCCCGAAGAAGGGTAGCCGCTGGCCCCAACTCCCAGGGGTGTCTCAGGCTGTCTTCTCACCTTCGCAGCAGTGACTGTCAGCCTTCCTAATGCTGCAACAAACACCCTCAGGCTGTGGTGACCTCCCAACCGTAGATTTTCATTGCTACTTCACAACTGTCATCTCACTACTGTTCTGAATTGTAATGACAATATCTTGTGGGTTTTTTTTGATGCTCATAGGAGACCCCCTCCCCTGCCCCCCCCCCCGAGAAAGTGTCTTTGATCCCAAATAGGGCGTGACCCACAGGCTGAGAACTGAGGTTCTCTAGTCTGATACTCTTTCCACAGAGGGTCTAGCAGAATGAGAACCAACTTATGTCTGCCTCCTGCCTCCTGGGGAGGGAACCTTCCCAGGCCTCAAACCTACAGGCTCACTCTTTGGGTGGGATTGACAAGATTTGCAAACCCCAGTGGAGCAAGCCATTCCCAAGAGGTTTTGGATGGAGAAAAGCTGGACAATAGAGATGAGTGATTGGCTTCAGATTACTTTGCGGAGAGGATGCCAACCTAAAGATGTCCCCTAGGCATGCATCATTCCTCCTCTCTTGGTCCCAGCCCCCTTGTCCCAGGCGTGGTGAGGGGAATACAAACCCTGATTCTTTATGCTCTGAGATCTTGTGTCTTGGTTGTTCCTGGCAAGGAAACTCTGGTTTGGGTTGGCCATGGGGGAGGGTGGGGCCCAGCCCACAGTCTCCTGCCTGGTGCTTCAATTCCAAGAGAGTTTCCTCTGAATTCATTTGTCTGTCTTCATCTTCCAGGGTTTTCTCAACAGAGGTCACGGTGGACCTCCAGGGGGCCCTGGGCCCCGCCAGCAGCAGGCAGGTGCCAGGCTGGGTGCCGCCCAGTCTCCCTTCAATGATCTAAACCGGCAGCTGGTGAACATGGGCTTCCCCCAGTGGCATCTTGGGAACCACGTGGTGGAGCCAGTGACCTCCATTCTTCTGCTTTTCCTGCTCATGATGCTTGGGGTTCGTGGCCTCCTGCTAGTGGGCCTGGTCTACCTGGTGTCCCACCTGAGCCAGCGGTGACCTCTGGGGGACTCGGGAGGGTGGTTTGCTGGGCTTTGGTGTGACAGCAGGGACAGGGGGAGGGAGCATGGGAGCTTGGAAGGTGTGATCAGAGATGGGACCATGAGCGCGCATTTCCCTACTGTGTTAAACAGGAGGCAGAGGGACCAGCATTACTGAAAAACACAGAGTACTTTGGTTTTCTTGGAAGGCTTTTAGGGGCATAGGGCCCCCACTAAGAAGCACAAACCCAGGGTAAGACAGGCTTAAAATGTTGTATTCTCCCAGAACACAAGTCCCTCCCCACCTACTCCCCCCCCCCCCCCCAGGAGCAGAACTGGAGTTCAGAGCAGCTAGGGATTGTCCAGATTTTTATAACATTCCTTTGTCCTAATGGTGTCTTTTTATTAGCTACTCTTATAAGGAAGGGTATTGACATTCTGTTTATTGTGCCATTTTTCTTTCTTGGGGGGGCATGGTTTTGAGACAGGGTCTTAACGATGTAGCCTTGGCTGGCCTGGAATCACTATGTAGACCAGGTTGGCCTGGAACTCACAAGAGATCTTCCTGCCTCTGTCTCCCAAGTGCTGAGACTAAAGGCCTGTGATACCCTGCCCAGCTATTGTGATATTTTCAATAAACAAATCTGAGCCTCTTTTAAGAAGCCGGCGAATGACTCACAGCCGTGTGGTCTGGAAGACTGAAGAGGATGGACGACAGGGCTGGTTGGTTGGGGGAGGGTGTAGTGGGGGTCTTGGTTTTTACCAGGGTTTCTCAGTGTGATGGGGAGATAGGAGCTGAGGTACAGGTCTGGACCCCTTGCCTAGTGCTGGGGGATATTCTGGGTACCCCGACACATAAACTCCAAGGTCGGCTCTAGGGGAGTGTCCCTTTGGCCAGAATGACTGGGGAGGCACTAGGAATCGAAGAATGGGATGCATGCCTGGGGTCTCTCTTGCTGGGGTTCTCCCCAAGGGCTGATCAGGTTCACCCAGTCACCAGTGTAGCCTTCCCCGCCACCTGCCTGGGCCCTGCCACAGTTGCAGTCCCCAAATAACACACAGGACGCTGTATTGATTATGAAGCTGTTGGCCGTTTGCTTGTTTCTTACTGGCTAGCTCTGACTTAAGTATTTAACCAATAATTGTTAATCTAAATATTTCTCTTACTGGAGAAAAGGGTCCACCTCTTACTCCTCTGGCAGGCTACATTGTGTGTCTCTCTCTCTTCTGCCTCTCTTTCCCAGAATCCTCCTTGACTCCTAGTCCTACCTATCTTGCTTCCCTATTGGCCAACAGTGTTTTATTCAAACCAATCAGACTCACATTTACAGAATGACATCTCCCAACAGGCTGAGGTAGGCATCGTTTCCAGACAGAAAAGGCCTTAAGTTTGGCTTTTGAACTCTTTTGAGGGGTGAGGGGGCTGAGACAGGGTTTCTCGTATATCCCTGGATGTCCTGGCACTTGCTCTGTAGACCAGGCTGGTCTTGAACTCAGAGATCTGCCTGCCTCTGCCTCCCTAGTGCTGGGATTAAAGGTGTGTGCCACCAACGCCCGGCTAGGTCCACTTTCAGATCTGTGGTAGGATTTGTTCCACACATGAAATGCCTTTTGGGGTGTGGATTAGAGTTCCTCGTGTAACACACTGGAGCTTTGCAGTTGGAAAGGGCCTTTGTGGGAATGTAGCCTCCCTTTCCAGAATTCAGTTCCCTTTCCTGGAGTCCACATCCAGTGCCTCATGGAAGACAAGTGAGTGGGGTTTCGGGTCCAGATGAGGACCATAGAGGCAGCAGGCGACCCTCATTTCCGGGTGGGATGCCAGAGGAGCTGGAGGTAGCCATAGACAGACTACAATGAGGACGCAGGGCTATTGGGGCTGAAGGAGTCCCAGCTCTGTGTCCTTGGGCCCTGGGCTGGTTGATGCTCTGTCTGTCTGTCTGTCTGTTTGTCATGTTTTTGGTGTTTCTGGCAATTAAACCCAGGGCCCTGTGAATGCTAGGCTCAGACTCTACTGCCAAGCCGCATCCACAATCCTCTTGTGACTTTTCATAAGTCGCCCCACGCTGTTTTTGAACTCGTTATCTGTAACCCAGGTGGGCCTTGAACTTGTGAGCCATCTACCCCAATCTTTCAAGGATCTAGGTTTGCAAGCATATACCACCAGGCCCAGTTTCTTAGAATCTACGCCAATATGAACAAACACGGCTATTTGAATTTTTACATTTTTTTTTTATACCACAGTAAGTTAAACACATTTCTCGTCTGTAGTCCTTGGCCATCTGTCCCAGGTACATTTTACAATAAAGAACTTAATTCCATAGGATTTTGGCCTGGGGTGAGTTGCGACCCTCTTTTGGCCTCCGCAGTCATTTGTACTTGGGGTACTAACCCCATGGACTCCTAAAGGAGCCCTATCCCTGAGCTGGGTGTAGGTCATAGTGGAAATGCCTGTTCTGAGTCTTGTGACTCAGTGAAGGGCTTAAACTTAGTTCTGGCTTCTAATCTTCTCAAACGGAAACGTGCCAGCAAAACCTGAGGGAAGCTACCTGGGAAACCATAGTCTGGGCAATTTGAATTCCCTAATCAGCCGAGGGGCTGCAATCTCACCTTCACCAGCGGGGGCCTCACCCGAGGACTGCCTGTTGCTCCCGTTGGACCTCCCTCCATCACTAAGTAATGTGGCGGGAGGGCTTGGCTAGATTCTACAGTGGTCAGTTTTAGTTGTGAAGCCCAAGTGTGTTGGCCTGGTCTGTTCTTGCCAGAGCTTAGTAGTGGTTGTTAACCAGTTTGGCACAGTGTCTGTGCCCACTTCTACACTCTTGTTCTGATGAGCATCTAGGTTAAGGTGAAGTGAAGTCATGAAATGTTACCTAGTCTTGGGCTGGTAGGTCTTACCAACCCATGATCTGTATCCACCTGGGAGAACCACAGGCCTGGACTGTAGACCCGTGTTTTGAATGTTGTGTCACAGCGCCACCTGGTGGGAAGTCTGGGAAGGAGCGTGACCTCCTTCCAGGGAGATTCCTGGTGGCAAGTGCCTGCTGTTTTTATTCTAATCCTCGTTTACTGCGGCTTCACCCTGGTCTGAGTCTTGCATCAGGAAGAGTCATAAGCCTGTCATTTCATCAAAGAAAGAGGACCTTTACCTTTTCACAGGCGGGACGGAGGCTTAGGAGAGGAAAACAAGACAGGTACCAATAAGCTGCCCTCAGTGAACTGAATCAGGGAGCCCGAGGCTGGGGTGCCTGGTGGCCGCTGTTGGAGGATGAGTCATGGCCTCTTTCTGTATCATTTCACAGCCTTGGATATTTCTAGCCCACAGTTCTGCTGTCACATGGCTAAAGTCTAGAAACTGCCATCAAGGGACCGGATAGCACATGGGTGCCAGCAGGAGTGTTGGGTATTGCCTTCACACTGTTTCACGCACTGTCATTGTTCCTCTAGTAAACTAAGATTCAAAGGTGCCAGAGAGCTTTCCTGAGCCATCTTAGCTAGTCAGAGGTAGACTTCAAGTCAGATTCCTTGGCCTCCGACTCAGGTCTTCTTGTGACATCATGGTCAGGGTCAGCTGAGGGCCGGACTTGAGGAGCCTCTGGTACGGAGACTGGGTCTCCTGGCTGTGAGCCCTTCTCTCAGGCCCATCCTTCCCTGTGGAGTTAATCTGTTATGTCTTCTATAGCTGTGTCTGCAGACAGTCTCCAGGATTCCCAGCCCATTGCTCCAGAGTCATCTCTAACTTGATTTGTTCAGTCATTCTTCTGTTCCACTCGAGTGAACTCAACCAAATCCTGCTGAGACCCCTCCCATCCAAGCTCCTGCTGGCTAATGAGGAGACAGCCAGCTCTTGCTAACTCCAGACCTGTGGTTCAGAGCTTCTGGAGGACAAAGAAGCAACAAAAACAAAAACAACAACAACAACCCCCCCCAAAGTTTTGTTTAGTTTCTTCTGAGACAGGGTTGCTCTGTGTAACAGTCCTAGCTATCCTGAGACTCACTTCGTAGACCAGGCTGGCCTCAAACGCACAGAGATCTGCTGCCCCTGCCTCTCGAGTGCTGGGATTAAAGGCGTGCGCTGCCACCACCTGGCTCACTCATCAGCTTTGCCTCATAGTTCAGAATAGCTGCAGGACACCAGCCATCGTGCCCTTATTACCAGCAGGAAGGAAGGCAAAGATAATCCTCTAACCATTCAGGCCCACTCCTTCCTGTTCACACGCTCCTTTGGTAGCTTTGCTGTGAGTCTGTTAGTTTGATGTCTGTCCATCACCTGAGTCCCTCTTAGACTGGAGGCTCCATGGGGTATAGCATCCCACCCACCTCCTCTTAGACTGAAGGCTCCATGGGTATAGCATCCCACCCATCTTCTCCTCTGAGACTGGAGGCTCCATGGGGTATAGCATCCCACCCACCTCCGCTTAGACTGAAGGCTCCATGGGTATAGCATCCCACCCATCTTCTCCTCTGAGACTGGAGGCTCCATGGGGTATAGCATCCCACCCACCTCCGCTTAGACTGAAGGCTCCATGGGTATAGCATCCCACCCATCTTCTCCTCTGAGACTGGAGGCTCCATGGGGTATAGCATCCCACCCACCTCCGCTTAGACTGAAGGCTCCATGGGTATAGCATCCCACCCATCTTCTCCTCTGAGACTGGAGGCTCCATGGGGTATAGCATCCAGCCCACCTTCTCCACCATTCTAGTCCTTCTGTCTAGTATGAGGCTTTGCACACAGTGAGTGCTCAGCAGAATCGCAGATAGAGGGAGCACCCAGGATTGTGGTGTATACATGCTCTTGACAAGAAGGGCAAGAAGTCAAGTGATGATGAGTGTGCTGCTGTGGACCAGGTTTCGCCCTGAGAAGATGGAGTTTGTGACCCTGACCCTGTTTAGCTCCCAGCAGACCCCAAGAAGTGGACCTGGCTGTGCCCTTTGCTTAGTAAGTGGGAGGGTGAAGTATTGAGTGATGCCTTTTCCTTGCCAGCCGCTTTGGTTTTTCCCCACCAGTTGCCTGGGCTCTGCTGTGTTGTAGTCCCCAAATAACACACAAGATGCTGTATTAATCATGAGGCTGTTGGCCTTGCTTGTTTCTTATTGGCTAGCTGTGACTTAAGTATTTACTCCATAATTGTTAATCTAAGTATTTCTCTTAGAAAAGGGTCCGGACTTCTTACCCCTATGACAGCTACATGATGACTCCCTGTGTTTCTCTTCCCCAGAATCCTGTTTGACTCCTAGTCCCACCTATCTTGCTTCCCTATTGGCCAACAGTGCTTTATTCAACAACCAATAAGAGACAGATTTCAGAATGACATCTCCCATCAGTGAAGCAATGAGGTTGTTGTGCTAAGTGGGAAAGCTGGGCTGTGAAGCTGACTGTCCAGACTCAGGTCTACCACGCCACCCCAGCCCTCCTGTGTCTACTCTGGCTCTCTGGATAGCCAGCCTCAGGAAGGGCAGACATCCCTGTATTCTGAGTGGCTGTTCACCATGGAGACCTCCCTGTGTCGAGGGTAATGAGCTTTGGTTCCTAACTATCCTCATCTGATGTATGTATAGGAGCTCTTCTAGACAACAGAGAAGGGCAGGCTGGCCTCAGTGGACTGTGGCCAGTGCTCATTTGCAGAGTGGTGTGTATTGGGCCCGGCCCCTGCCTCTTGGTAAGTGGGAGGTCGCCTTAAATCACACAGATGCTGAGAGTCATGGGGATTGTTTCCAGGATGTTATGGCTCCTCAGATTTAATGGAAAACTCCAGGACAGGGCTAATGCTTGATGTGCAAGCAGTCAAGAACCACAATGGGGAATTTCACACAAACTCCACGTCATGGGCATGCAGTGTAGCCCAGAGCTGCCATTGGCTGCCTAAGGTCACATGACTGATGCTGTGGCCAGGCTGTGTTCTGTGGCTTGTTCTATGATAGAACTCATTTGGTTCCCAGGACACCAGTGGGGTGGTTGGAGATGTATCCTCCCTGATCTCAACGCCTGCTTGAAGAGGGTAGCTGTGTCTGAAACACAGCTAGGACTAATTCTGGTTACTGCTGTCTTGCTTCCAGGGACCACCAGTAGGTGGTGCTAAGTATCCAGTTGCTACTTAGCCACTAGGAAAAAAAGGACCAGCCAACTGGCGTGTGAGAGTAATTAGGGCCAGAGACAGGCTTTTGGGATGAGCTTGTACCCTGTGCTTGAGCACCCAAGGCCAAAGGAGGACTTGGGAATCCCAAGTGGGGTTGTTCTGATCCCAAACCCTTCCGAAGTTTGTCATCAGAGGAGTGGCAATAGGGCATTACTTGTGTTGAGTGAGTGGCCGAGAGAGCTGGAATGCAGCAATAAGGACAATATGGTGGCACCTAGACACCACTGTTAATCCTTTCTCTGGGCCCAGGCCAGCCTCTTCATCTCTCATCCCAGCTCCTGGCACATCCCATTACGCCTCACAGCGTCAGAGAGACTGCCTGGTACTTGAACCTTTCTCCCCTCCCCCTTTTGTTCCGTTTCTCTTTCCTGCCGTCTCCCCACCCCTTTCCTCCCCCTTCCCACACCTTTCTTTACTCTCGTCCCTCCACCCACACCTCCAGGGACCCTGCAGGTCTAGCTCCACCCCCAATACCTCATCCACAGTGTGGCAAACCAATACCAATGGGTTTCTAGGATGTGGTTTCCATGGTGACCATGCATCTCCTGCCTCCTGGTGTTCGGCCCTGGGCAGGTTGCCGTGGAGACTCACCTCATTGAGGAGTGATTTGTGGCACTGGTTTGGTTTTTGTTTGTTTGTTATTTTTCTATATTTCAACACTTTCTTTTTAGGGCCACTGGAGCCCAAATGGTTCTTTCTCAATCACAGAAAACCTGGACACCCCTCCCAAAATAATTCCCCAGCCATAATGTCCCCAACATGCTTTGTTTAGCACAAGGCCTCCCTGGGAACGTCTCCCCCTTTCCAGTGCTACTGTAGCTTTAGTGTCAGAGCCTGCACACGGGCAGCAGCCCCAACGGGCTAGGCTTGGCCACCCATCCCCCGTAAGCCAATTCCAGAGACAAGTGCTAACAGAAGGAGAGAAAGGAGAGGCACGCCGTACGGCCACACCGGAAAGAAGCAGATAAAGAGGTCCTATGCCCCCCCCCCAGTCCATACTTGGAGTAATACCATGATGTGTCAGTTTAAAGAGAGCACTGGAGGTGGGCATAGCTGAGCAGCCCAGGCCCGGGTGTGTGGTCCTGTCCATCACTGGCCCGTCCTTGTTTCTGCTCCAGTCACTTCTGCAGGGTGGGCTGTCAAGTTGTCAGAACCGTGTGCAGTTGCTCCTGAGGGCCAGGTTCCTCCTCAGGCTGCACCATACTTCAGCCTTTTCTTCTTCCAGCAGGAAGGCCCCAGGGAAGTTCTTATTTCTTGGGTCAGTGGTTTGAGCAGCCTGCTAGCCAAGGGGGACACGGTATTCTTCCGCGTAGTTTGGTTCTGCCAGGGTTTGTACCACACTGTGCACCTGCAGTGGCTGGCCAGGTGGGTGGCCACAGAGGCATGGGTCAGAGTGCACCCACTTTCCTTCCTTTCTGCCCAGAATGCCCTTTGAGGAGGCCTTGGACTCCATGCACGAAACCATCAAATGCAACCTGGAAAGTGTCTATTGGCAGCCATCTTCCTGGAGAGCCCTGGTGGCTTTGGGGAGAAGGTAGGCATGGGGGAGAGAGGGAAGCAAGCCCAGCCCAGAGGTGCTAGGGAAGGGGAGCAGGGGAGGGGAGAGACTGTGGGAGCCCAAAGGGAGAGGTCGGGGTGCGAGAAGGCTAAATCTTGGCAGGAGAGTCCCCTAGTACGAGTGTCTTTATAAATCACCCTGCAATGCAAACCTAAACCAGACCTCCTCTTTCCCTGCCAAGCAGGGAATGTGTTTGTGGACATGAAAACATATTAAGCACATGGCAGTCCTCTGTTCCCCCAAGTTGAAGCCATTACAATAATGAATGAAGGCAGCAGATTAATTAAAGACCCCTTTCTCCCTCTTCTGCCAGTTAGATCAGTCAAGGGGCGAGGGAGCATGCGCCACTGCAGACAGAAGGGGGCTTGGGGGTGAGCCCCCCAGAGGCATTTGCTGAACTGCTAAACATAAAGGACCCTAGTGGGAGGGGCTGGAGGCCAGAGGGAGGGGCTGGTGGGGAGGGGCCAGGAGTGCTTGCCAGGCTCCCAGGGACTTTCAGTCCGTTTCCCTTCCTGCATTACACAGCGCGAGGGTCTCTGTTACCATGGAAACAAGCCTGCAGGCCAGGAAGGGATATTAGTGCAGGCTCTTGCATTCTTAGTGAACATGTGACAGACTAGACTCCCTGGGGTGCTGTCCCTACTCCCCTCAGATTTCCAGGTGAGCGTGGTCAATCTAGGCTACCTGAGGTCTATCCGTGGTGGGTGTGGGGTGAGGACTGGTGGCTGTCCACTCCAGGATTCCAGCCCAAAATCCGTTCACACAGAGCTGTCTCCGTCCTGAGGACCAGCCAGAAAGGCCACGCATCAGCTGCACCACACAGAGGGCTTGGGACTTAGAGAAGGCAGAGAAGTGGTCTCACCTTTACAGAGCTTGCGTCCCTCCCTCCCTCCCTCCCTCCCTCCCTCCCTCCCTCCCTCCCTCCCTCCCTCCCTCCCTCCCTCCCTCCCTCCCTCTCTCCCTCCCTCCCTCCTCATTCCCTTCCTTACTCCTTTGGCCCGTCTGCTTCCCAGCTTCGTTTTCTATTTGTAAGATTCATTTATGACATTTCCCAGGCCTCCCTCTCTCCTCCACCCTCCAGGCAGTGGCGCCTCTGAGGGCTTCAGGAATACGGGCCTCCCTGCTGCTTGGCTGAGTGTGCTCTGTGTTTGACTGAGAAATCACCTCACCCCGAGGAGGAAGAGTTAACCATGGTGCATGGTTTCAGCCATGGATGCTGGGGCTTGTCGATTTGGGCTTGTGGTAAGAAAAGAGCATGGCCCGAAGAGCTGCCCACTGCATCGTGGCTGGTAAGTGGGAAGGGAGCAGGGAGGGGGTCCCGACACCCCCTTTAAGGGCGTGCCCCCACTGACCCAACTTCCTTTTAGTAGGTCCCAACTCTTGAAGGTTTTATGGAGTAGGGGCCAAACCTTTAGCACCTGGGCCTTTGGGGGACGCTCTGGACCCCCAGCTTTGGCTGGAATGTGAAATACTCATTTTTTTCCCTTTCCACTCTCTCCCACCCTCCTGCCTTTGGAAAAGGCTAGAAAGAGCAACCAAACTGCTAGACCTGAAGCTGTTCTCAAATTCTCAGGGCTCTTACTGACCTGCCTCCCTGCTTACCCTTCCTCACTGAGCAGGCTGACTGGACAGTAGGTAAAGCCCAGGGCAGCCTCAATGCCTAACAATTTCTTGTGCTCTGACCCAGTTCTTACCAGCCACCCCAGTCGGGGTGGGTTTACACAGCTGGTTTGTGAGGAGGAGGTCTGCAGAGTGGCCCCATTACGGGTCTCGTGCACACGTGACTAAGTATTCCCTTGTGGGTACTTTGAGGTCCTGCTTGACGGGTGTGTGGAAGCTCAGACGCTTTGTATACTCAGGAGCCCTGGGGCAAGCTCGGTGAAGTGGTCCAGCTGGAGGAAGGGGCTGTGGATCTCCTTGGAACTCCAGAGACCCAGAGATTAAACAGAGATGGTAACAGATGAGCTGATGAGGTTTGGCCAAACAGCTAGCTGCCCTCTGGGGTTCAGAGACCCCCAAGCCTCCTGGAACAGAGTGTGATGGGTGCCTGCTTCCCTGGGACTCCTCCAGCAGGAAGAACCTTTGACACACTCATACAGGCATGCATGCACGCACACATACATACACAAACACACATACACATAAACAAACACACAGTACAGTATACACACTCATACAATGCGCACACACATACATATATACACAAATGCGCACACACACATACACACACAAGGCCCAAGACCACTTTTAGCCCCAGAGTTGAATGCCGTGATGTGACAGGGACAACTCTATGACGTGCTAGGTTTCCTGTAGCTGTTCCATATCCCAGGGGCGTGGGTACAGTGACTAAACTAAGAGCGATGCCATTTATGTCTCCCTGGCCGGAGGGGAGTGGGGCATCTGGAGGATGTTGTCCATGTCTATTCTCCTTGGCTCATGCAGGAAGTGAAACAGAAGACGCCTAGAACCCATTTCCCGGAGTCGTCTCTTACTCCCAGCCTCTGGGACTTAATGTGCCAAACTTCTCAAATTAGAAACCATGGGAGGAAAAGAATACATGTATATTTCAGAGCTAGTCGGAAGTTGTTAGGGCCTCTTTGGACAGAAGGACATCCGTTTCATGTTCTCTGTTCAGACTCTCTTGCCCAGTAGATACTGACTAAAGGGCTGTTATGGTCGAGTCCTTAGGAAAGTCCCAAGACTCCAAGGACCCAGCCGACCTGAGACATGGCCATCACCCTCCAGTTGGCAGACAAGAGGGTCAATACCCGCCTCACAATCTAGGGACCATAGTTCAGATGGTGCAGGGGACAGGTCTTTTGGGGACTCCAGCACACCTTGGGATGGAGAGTCAGGGACCACAAGGCATGTTTCCTAACAGAACTCCATTTTCTACTATCCAACTTTCCCGATGGTGACGTAGTGACCTTGACCCCAGCTTCAGGTAGTCATGGACCCTTAAGCCACCAGCATAGTCCATCCCTTGTCCACAGTCAGTGGACATGTTTTCCAGGCACAGTGAATTGAGACTTCTACTCTGCCTCGATTGAGAGATTTCCTCCTCTCCTCCCCTCTTTCTCTCTTCTCTTTCCTCCCCCATCTCTCTTTCTCTGTCTCTCTCTCCCTCTCCCTCCTTTCTCTTCTCTCTAGGAAATATATAGTCAGGCAAGATTCTAGCAGCCACCTTGACCAGGGCAGACCAATCCTGGAATCCGTTGTCCTCTGAACTTCCAAACCTGATGTGAATGACATCCTTTTGTTCATCCCATCGTGTTTCTTCTGTGTTTAATGCTCTATTTGTTTTATTGTTATTTCTAACATTCAGCCCTAACCCAAGCAGGTTCTTTCTACCTGAGCTGGTTCACACGCTCACTTGATATAGATTAAAAATAGTTTTTGGAGGGAGACAGGGTCTCATGTAGCCCAGGCTGGCCCTGAATTTTCTAGGTCACCGAGAATGACCTTGAACTTCTGATCCTGCTTTCCACCTGAGGACTGGAATTATGCCATGTCCAGTTCATTCTGAAGATCCAGCCCAGGACGTCTGGCACTCCAGGCAAGTGCTTTCCTGCATCCTCACAGGGGAGAGGGGGGCTTGGTGTCTCTCACGATGACACTGCCCTGAGAAGACCCAAAGTAGGGTAAAAGTTCTTGCCACACAGTGTAAGGACCTGTGTTGGAATCCCCAGAACCCACCAAAGCTAGGCTTGTACCACACATGTGTGTAACGCCAACGCTCCTACAGGGAGATGAGAGGCAGAGGGAGGAAACAATAGAGACCCTGTTATACAAGATGGAGGTGAGCACCAGCGCCTAAGGTGCTAACTTTATATGGGTACAGACATCAACATTCTCGTTCATGAACACACACACACTCACACACACACTCACACACGCACTCAGAGCTCAGGTACACTGACATCAACATTCTCATTCATGAACACACACACACACAGAGCTCAGGTGCACTGATGTGCAACATTCCCATACATGAATACACACACACACACACACACACACACACACACACACACACACACACTCAGAGCTCAGGCAGTCCAGTGGACACCCAGGTAGAGAACCTCAAAACCCAGTGAACAAGAAGTGGCAGAGAGAAGCCACGGCTGCCGTCCTAGAGTGACATGGCAGTCACATGGCACATGGACTGCGAGATTGACAGGTCCCAGCATGAACCCGAAAGGCTGCTGATTATTCAGAACTGCCAGATGGTGACCGCAGGCACACCTGTGAAGCAGGCCATGCTGGCTCCACGGCAGAAGTTTAAACATCCAGCCCGAGAACGGCACATATGAGCCCTGACGTCCCAGGCTCCTTTGTGAGACAGGGCTGTGCCTTAGTTACTTTCTTGTTGCTGACAAAATACATGATGGAAAGCAACTAACGGAGGGTGGGGGGGGGTGGGGGGCGGGTGAGGGTTGCTCTGGCTCATGGTCGGACGCCACCATTCCATCATGGTGTCAAGAGCATGGCGGTGGCAGAAGGCATGACAGATACTGGTCACATTGTATCAATGCTATCTCAGTTCCCTTTCTTCTTGTTTCTCTTCTTTTCTCCCTCCCACCGGCCCCATTGAGACAGGGTTTCTCTGTGAAACAGCTCTAACTGTCCTGGAACTCACTCTGTAGACCAGGCTGGCCCCAAATTCAGAGATCTGTCTGCCTCTGCCCCGAGTGCTGGGATTCCCTGCCTGGCTCTCCTTGTTTGTTTTGATGGAGTCTGGGACCTTAGATCTTGAAGTAGAACCACCCATGTTCAGGGAAGTTTTTCCCTCTCGGTTGAGCCTTTCTGGAAAAGTCCTCATAGACACCCCCAGGGGTGTGTTCCATGAAATCTAGCCATCTTAATGTAATTGGTTTTAGTGCAGTGCTGGGCTTGCTGGGGGAATCAGGGATCCCTCTGTGCTGTCCCTTAAGGCCCAGCTGCCCAAGTGCCATCTAGAGGAGAGATGATGTTGGGAAACTAGGTTGGCTCCTGGCACCCTCCCACACCCAGCATCCTCACCCTACCCTCTCCTCGAGAGTGGACCGTGGAGATACACAGCTGGAGCAGCCAAATTGACAACAGGCTCCAAGAGAGCTTTGGTGGCCAGAAGGCTCAGTCTTGTCAACACGATGGCCTGACCATGAGGCCACCTTCCCCGGAGTGTTGACAGGAAAGAATACCGGAGTGGTGAGGGGGACACACAGGCAGGAGTGAGACTGGGGGTGAGAAAGAACCATTGCTCCTCCATATTCCCCCAGACAGAGCCAGGAAGCACTAGGGAAAGGAAGAAGGCGGGGGTTGGGGGGAGGCTCGGTGTGTGGTCCCTCAGCTTCTTCAGGCATCTATCTATGGAGAGATAGAGCTTTCAGCTCACTGGAGAGATCCAGGCCCTGGATTCCTGGTCTTATTTTGTCCACTGGCTCTAAGCATGTGTCCCCGTGGTCACTCTGGACAAAGATGCCGTTTTAATGGGCTGGGGGCAGAAAGGGGAGAAGACATTAAAGAGAATAGAAGGAGGAGGAGAAGACAAGGGGCACTGGCATCAGGTACACAGATGGATGTGTATCGGCAGTTACTTTGTGTGCATGCCTGCATGCCTGAGTATCTGTATCTACAGGTGTGTGTGCAGTGTCTGTGTGTGCGTGTGTGTGGGTGCAGGCACTCAGAGGCCAGAGAAGGACATCAGGAGCCCTGCTGTGTCATTAGTCATCTTTCTCATTTAGGGACAGGGTGTCCCACTGACCCTAGAGCTAGGCTGGAAGCCAGCACGTTCTAGTGACCCTCCAGACAGTGCGGAGGTTACACACATCACGCCTGCTTTTTACAAGGGCTCTGGGGATCTTAACTCAGGTCCTCATATGCTTACAAATCCTCTTACCTACTGTTCCGTGTGTCTCTCTGTGCACTGGCTTGGTTCTGGGCGCATCCATACATTAGCCTATGAGTCTCCCTTGGTATATGAGAGCTACCCAAAGCAGGAGTGGCTGAATGTCCTCCTGGGTCTGTGTCTCAGCCATCCTCATGGGGACTCCGTGGGGACTGTCTTTAGCTGATCTTTAGCCCTCAATACTCAGTCACATTGAAGAAGAGCAAACAGGCCTGGTTCCAGAAGGCTCATGGCCAATGCATGACCTTGGAGTGCTTGCTTTTTTTTAAATGTAAAAATATACAATTTGAATTTTCATCATGGAAACAATTGTGTAGCTAGGACTTCCAGGCGGGCCCCGTCTTGGCTAGTTCCTAGTTTTAACTGCCTCTCAAGAGGCAGAACACAATTGCTCCAGGA